ATACTTCATATTACTGTGGATATTATGTTAATTTAATGATGAAAATCATTTGGTTAATGTTGAAATCAATTAACTAATGTTCTTCTCTTTTTCTCGTACAATTTAAAATTATAATATTTTTATGTTACTGACTGAAATAAGTAGTAATTTAGAGAAATAGATAAATGAATAAAAAACAAATAAACTAAGCAATATTTCTTTTTTCGTTATCTAAATACTAATTAGCATGAATCCAAGACTATGATAAAAGATATGGATAATGCATATTAGTAAGTAATTAAATAAAAATTCATTCTCGTAATAGGATGATATGAGCTAGGGAAATATTTCAAAAGTAAGGCATACTGGACATACATTCTGTACAAGTGTGCAGTTATTTACTTGAGATTTGAAATCATAATCATGTCTTGTGAGAATTATCATAAAATAAAATTTACGTAAATTTTAATATCGTCGTATTAGGTAATAATGAGCTATATAACCCAATTCAGACTGATTGATTTCTACGGTAAACAGGTACTAATTAAATTTACAAATAAAACTGAAATTCGGAGACTTGGTAAGTACGTTTGCTGAAAAAGATATGTGAGTTAACAAATGACTTCCACTTGAAGCATTACTGTATGGTCTTATATAATGTAATTTGGATAAAAGTTTAATTTTGTTGCCATTTGTATGATAAGTTATTTGTCCCTTTGAAACAAAGACTGTGTATTACAAAGTACAATAATCTTTAAACAATGAATGAGTTATTAAGATCATTTTTAGTAATCTTTATATCTACCTAAGAAAAACAACCTGTACATAACTAACTGATTTCCGCACGACTTTCTATATTCAACGGTCGGTCAATGATGATTCTTTCTTATATTCTGAAATTTAGTAGATAGAATTGAGCTTCTGGCTTTAGGCTGAATTTGAAATTACTATCACAAATGAACTTTTAACCAAGAATTAGGTCAAGGTGAATGACAATTAAAATAAATGTGCAGACAATGACAGCACAAACGTTAAAATTAGCCAGTCAAATTCATTTTCGACAGAACAAGCTGTCGAAAATCCCGAGGTTTGGCCTGAAGATACTTCTTATAATTATAATAAAAAGATATATGATTATGGCACTAAGTTCAGATCACGCAAATTTATAAAAAAGTAACACTCATTGTTGAATCACTTGATACAGTCCAAAAGTTCATATTTTACAGAAGTTGAATTATTATCCAGCCTAATATCCCTATAATATGACACCCTAGTAGCTGTAAAATTGAAATGATACTTATTGAAAGGTGAAGAAAGGTGAATTGTGGATTATATTAAACATATTTATGTTACTGCAGTTTGGAATTAAATGGGAGAGTTGATGAATGTACAAAGTTGATCAAGTGGTTAAATGAGGGATTATATTACTGTTCATGTTTATACATGAGTTTAAAAGCATCCAGTCAAAGAACTTTCTACAACTGAGGAAAATGTACCAATAGTAGTAAATAATATCCACTAAGAACAATAAACTATTAACGGGACCTAAATATGTGAATACGCATTGGCACTGAAGTCTCTGTCTTTACCTACTTATGAACCTAGATCACAAGGATCTTTAGGAAAAGTATCCGAGATATTTAAATTTATGTGCTACATCTACCAATTACTGAGTTGCGTATTCATATAGCAAGATTGGTAACTCGACTTATTTTAATCCAACAAAATGTTGTATTCTACCAACCCAATCTGTTTCCGAGATAATTTAATTTACACATATTCAATTGTAAATAAACAACCAGATATTTCAACAATTCGACTTTTTTAGCGCTAAATTAAAACTTCTTCATTCATAATTCTTTGATGTTTCATTCAATTACGTCATTCTTTAAACAACAAGATATATTCAGGTGGGCTGTGATCAGAAATACTTTTTTGATTATTCCCTTGTTTGCCTATCTTAAATCATTCTGTTGCAAGCTTTTGAAAATTAAAACTAAATGTAATATGCATTCGCTTATTTTACCAATACTCAACTGTCTATCTAACATCCATATCACTCTCCGTCACAAAAAAAAAACAAAAAACGCTTATAGAAATACAGACACGTATGAGAATTTCTGGGAAATAAACAATCTACAGTAAGTGATTCATCACTTAAAATCGAAATACAGTTTTCTTTAAAAAACATTTTTGAAAAGGAAAGTTAAACATTCACTACGTTAGTCTTTTCTATGTTTAGTCGATTAACAATATTTTAATACTGTCTCGAATCATCAAACCGCTAGTTTCTCTAAGAATTAACACGTAATATAACCAGGATATATTAAAGTAAAATTCACTGTTGTTCGATAAGGCTTCAATTAATTTGGAAAAGACCGAAAACGTGAGACAATAAAGTCGTTTAGTTTTGACTTTTGGAAAATTTCCATCACATTATTAACGCTGATTAAATTTGAATGGTACATCTTATCCTGTCACTAATATTCAAGGCTACTTATTGGTCATTTTTTTTTGTATATATGTCGCTTGTGTCGCCTGACTTCATATAGCCTTTCTGTTGCAAATTTCAAGATTTTTGGATCCCTACTACTAGTAGTAGGATTAAGATACGTCCATTCGAAGAGCCACAAACAGGACAAAATGAGTGTTCTAAATTCAACTCTTACACTCAATCCAAATATATCAAAACCCGTGTTTGCTTTAGTTAACAGGAAAGTGTTATTGTTTGCTTTTGTTTCGCATTTTTAGTTGCATTCTCATAGTTCACAGATGATTCATCTAATCTGTACGACAAAAATATTCTACTGTGCCCTTAGCACATGAAAATACTTGTCTAATTAAATAGACTTTGTATATTGACCTGTAATAAAACCATCTTACAAGAGAAATAATTACTTAAAGTTAATTACTGAGTTAAAACGTAATATCTAAATTAAGATGTTAAATTTAAATGCCTTCTATTAAACTATATTTCCTCCTTGAAAGCGTTTATTTTAAGTCAATATAAAAGAAAATAGCCTGTATCTTAAAGTTAACTGACAGATGAAAAGTTGATAAATAGTTTTGAAAGCAATAAGGTATCTGAATCTACAATAAAAACAGTTGTCCACACTATTCTGTATTTCAATGATTAACCGCTTAATATTAGTTTGCATAGAAAGTTATTTCTAACTTATATAAAACCTCGATAGAACTATCTAACTTAACAAAATTTAATAGATTACATTCAGTGGAATTAAAGTTTTTTATACGTATCTAAGCTTAGTTCGGAGATACATTCTCTTAAATAAATCTTAAAAAAATAAAACAATTTTTGTTCACAGGTTGTAGTGATGATTGTTTTGTGTTAAACGTGAAGTATGTCTATTCTGTAATAAAAAGTTACATGACTTCAATTTTGTCTAAATGTATAAGTGATAAAACCGTGAATTTATTGTTTTTTTAATGTACTTAATGGTAATTATTAGGTTACTAAGTGTAGGATTAACATTAGTTAGGACAGAAATTAATCAACTTTATTAATACAATACTACTTCACACAACTTGATACATGAAAATGAATGAAGAAAGAATATACAGACAATCGTTTTCATTACTAAATGGTTGAAGAATGTATTAATCGTTTATAACATTTCCTCTTTAACACTATTGTCATTATCGATAAATTTGAAGAATTCTTTAGATAATTAACATTAGATATTTAACTGAGAAGGCATGTATCAGTTTACAGACTAAACTTTAAGAAACTTAGTGTTACAGATTAATCATAGTAACTAAATGCCTAAAATTTATTAGATGAAACGAAACATGAATAGGTATTGCAAAAGTGAACCACTACTGAATGTATAAAATATAAATCTTTGCTTATTTAGCTAACTAATCCTAAAAAATGATGTTTTCATTAAAACAGCTGATATTCAGTCAAATCCATAACAGCCTCTAAGCATTTCTAGTTTTCCGGCTGAATTCTATGCGGCTTGTACCAATCTGGGCTATTTTTGGCGCTTGCGTTATGTTAGTCTGGCTGTAAAAAGTCGGATCTACAACGCGAGCAGTTGTGCTCTATGTCTGGGAAACCTGGCCTCTCCAAGTTGATGTTAGACGACTCTGAAGGAGTCCTGACATCCAGTGGCAACGCCATTTTTGTAATTCAAAGGTTCGTCATCGCGTGTTCGGGCACAGCGGCGACAAGTCAATTGGTGTCACTATCTTGAGACACTGACCTCGGTGGCTTGGACATGTCCTACGAATGTCGTCTTAGCGAGTTCCACATCGTGCATTATTTGCCAACTCTGGGACGGGTTGGAAAAAGCAGACAGGCAATCGGCGTATGACATGGTGTCGTGTTATGAAAGGAAGCTGTACTCAAAATCAAAATGACTAATAAATCTTTGTTAAATTTTTTATCACATAATGGTCTTGGCCAGAAAAGTGTTGAAAACTAGGAATTACCAGACAGTTGTTTAGTCCTCGGACAAGACTCCTCAGCTCTGGGTATTCGCAAACTCACCAAGAATCCACCTTAGGATCTTCAAGTCTCGCAATAAGCGCTTAACCTCTAAACCACTGTCTAGGTAAGTTAAGGCTTATATTTCTAACTGGGATCGATTCGTAACACTGATCAACCATCTTTAAATGCCTTTGATAGAGAACTGTTTCAAATCCAACATTATTGAAATTATTATCTGGTCAATTTTGATTAAACCAAGTTAAGCAAATATTGATTTATTTGTTATAATGACACTACTTCAGATTTAGTGATTTATCAGGACATATTACTGTCAACAACCGCACATAATTCCTATTTTCTGTCAGTCAGTATGAAGAATGTGTTTGTTGAAACGAATCCACAAGAATGATTTTAGGTGAATTAAAGAAATTATTACATAATAGTAATGAAATATTAGTTCACTATTAAATCTAATCTAAGGTTCTAAATGGTTACGAATAACAGAAAATTAGTAGTAGTAATAACAGTAGTAAAAGTAATTGATTAACCGAAATCATTTGAAAGTTACCTGATGTGATCGTCAATTGACAAATATTATTTCCCAATCTTAAAAGTTCCACTGATGGCATAGTTAAAGTAGATTTGCACAATTTAGGTTCATTTGCAGTTATATTATTACTGTTACCGTTCCTCTGTTTAATAATCGTGCTTGATGTGGATAGGAATAAGCTAGTTAGCGTATTCTCTGAATACTTCCATGTCATCTCCAAATACCGACCTATAATTTGATGTCGTGTACTAACTTCACGATGATCACTCCACTGTACACCTTTTTTAGAATTAACTCTAGGTTTACTTTGTTCCTTTTCCTTATCACCAGTGATACTGCTACTTTCAGTTGCAGTATAAATAGTAGAATCATTCTTGTCTTTTTTGTAATTATGATCGTCTGGTTTTGTTTGATTATCCGATTGTAATTTAGTAAAATCAGTACCAAGTGTATGATTACTGATTGATGAATAAGGTGAAACAGCTGATCCAGTTGCCACATATCGATCTAATGTGCTAGAACGATGCAACGCATCCTGATAACGTGAAATATAGTTAGGTAAAATGGTAGTTCTATGATGAATATCTGTTTTTCCAGGTGTTTTAGAAATTATCTCTTTTGTTTCCGTCATATTTGGATGATTTGTTGAAGTAGCACGTACTAACACACCATGTTTACCTTCAACACTTACAGCATGTGATATAGATGAAGACGGGGAGGAGGTAGGAGAGGAGACAGAAGAGGGATCCAAATTATTAGTGTTACTAAAAGTTTTTAATCGTTGTTCGGCTTCGACTTGTCTTATTTGTGCTGTAGCGGCAGCTGATGTATACACAAGTTGTAATTTCTGTACTTGATATAATAGATCAGTTGATTGAGATAGTATATCTAAGAAATTTGATATAAATTCATATTCATTTCGAAGATAGTCTGAAGCTAACAAACCGTGATTATCTTGAATGAATTTCTGAAATTCTTGTTGTAATAAATTTTTATTTGATAAATTATGATTATAATCGATAGTAGTATGATTGTCATCAGGTTCACTAAAGAACAGTTTTGGAAACTTATATATGTGTAAATAGATTAGATGAGCAAGACGCAAGGAACGTTGTTTAGCGAATAGTGAAAATAAACATCCAACAGACATCGAAAATACAACATCAACAGGATCATTTAATAAGTTATATGAGATAAGTTGTGATAATGGTTTAAAAGTACTACTAATACTAGTAGTATCGGTAGTTGGTGATAAAATTTGAGCAGAATGAAATATATTTTCGTCGTTACATATTAATTTATACAAATGTGTATTACGATATATTTGAAATGTATTATGTAAATGCCCTCGTAAAATATTTAACTCTTCAATACCACGTGTCATTTCCCATAGTTCATCATGTGTAAAACGTGATAATTCCATATAACCTAATAATGATACACCAGAATAGATTAAATATTGAGCAGAATTAATAATAGCTAATGTTAATAATTTACTGTACATGGAATTAATTCTATATGCATCTAAAAAGAGTTTTGTTAAAATTGTATCACAGTTATTTGAAGCATTAATTTGATTTAAACGATATTGCATATTTCGTTGTTCATTAGCTAAACGTTTCATCTGTGTCCAACATTGTCTTAAACTTTCGCATAAAATTCTAAGTTCACCTAGTTGTGAGGAATAATCATAATGTGTTGTTGTATAACCGGTAATAGGTGTGTCATTACTATTATCATCAATATCATCATCTCCACTCTCATCATTAAAATGTAATAATGTAGTTAATAAAAACTCATGATAATCATTTAATATATTACAAGAATTTTTCTCATAAAGAGCTTGAAAAGAATAAATATTATTGCTTGATATAGAAAATTTTGATAAAATACAGTCTAATAAATTGGTTTCTTTAATGAGAACAGTTTCTGAATGAGCCAGTAATGCAAGCAAACCTAAACTTAACTCTTTTACGGTATTGTTCAATGTATCGAGATGTACAACGTTCAATAGTTTTAAATAGAAACGATGCAAATAAGTTAAGTGGTTTAAATCATCTGATTTATTTCTGGAAGTACTGGAAGAAGTATGTACACATATAATAGGGTCGTTAATTGTTGATGAGTTGATATGTTCATCCAATGCTGATGATGGTTGGTTTTTATTGTTGTCATATTTATCTGTATTAAGTATCTGTAATAGAATTTAAAACACAAAACCGAATTAAGTGCAAAATCTATCATTGGTACGATATGGAGTTATAAGCACAAAATGTATAAGCGCACCGATTTCTTGTCAATCTACATTTTAACTGAGATGTCTTAATAAATATACTAGAAAGTGAAAACGCAGTGGTGAACAACTTCAATGAGTTTCTATGCTCAAAGGTTTTTTAGTTAGCTTCACACTTACAACTTGTAAGTCAAGCGAGATGTTATTGACTGTTTGTATTTAGCTCTACGTAAATGAATTCTCATTTATTCACAATTGACAGGGCCAAAAATCACCGACGACTATGTTTATACAAATATGTTAGGTGTGTTGGATTACAGGCAGTTTCATTAATCAGAACTTCACATATATTTAGGCCGTACAATATGTTTATTCATTTCTTACAAGCATAATTTGAAATGTTTGAAAAATAATATATCTCTTGTTAAATTAAGAAATTTGAAGTTTTTTTATCTAAGCTATATGCTAGTTATGCGTGAAGAAACAAAATAATCTCGAAACAAGATAAGGATGTTTCAGTGAAGAAACGTTTCCTCTTAACGATGTTATTTTCTGAAGTTGTGAAGTTCTGTTTATCAATAATTTTACTTGTGGCAGTCTATAATAAAATGGGGTGTTGCACTATTAAGTAAAAATCACCGAAGACGCTTGTAAACGATCGATTAAAACTACCCGGATTCCATAGTTAAAAATCTTCACAAACTCGAGTTTAAAATATTGATTTCTGAATACCGAAATTGTTATAGTTGGAAATTTTCCTCCTCATTTGAAATACTTCGGTTTGTCAGTTTTTAAACTTTGTTAGCGATTTTAAAATCAATTTTTGTTCCGAAATTTCCATTTTCTATAGTTAAAACATTTAGACACAGAATGTGTTTCCATAACCGAATGTTTTTCTGTGTGAATAGATTAAACTGAGTCACAGTAATTTTCGCAAAAACTAAGAGGTGAATGACCGTTACGTATCATTGCGATTTAACAGGATTTTGAAGTATTTACTATTGAATCTCGACCTAGTAATCTGAAGGTGTCTTTGTTCTTCCGAACCTTCACGTTCATTATGACTGACTGGTTGGTTTTCGGTCGTTTTAGAATTCAAATGTCCTTGGATTGATCACTCTCAAGGTCGTACGTACAAGCTGTCAAAAAGCTTCACAGTAGAAAAAAGTGGTTTTCTTGTGTTTCATGATTTTTCGTGATTTCCCATCTGATATTATTCAGCGTCTGAACTGAACACCTTGAGTTAATGATTTTCAGTAGTTGTGCACGAACTGACTTAAGCATTAAAAATGTATGATAAACTTAGGGTTTATAGTGTAAAATATCTTAGTTTTTGAGTTTTTGACTTAAGCGAAAGTAATTTCTGATAAAAAGTCAACGTTGATCAGATGTACGGGAAACTTTCATCCACTGTAACTGGAACACGCATTGTTTCTTACATAAGTAATGATAAAATGTATTGAGTAGGCATAAATACGAATAAATGGTCTTACCGAATCACTCTGTTTGATTCCACAAGGATGTTCTTGTAAAACGATCTTATTAAAATTTGGTAGTATTTTAATCGAATGGCATAATGATAATGCGAGTGTGACTAACTCATCCACTGAAGACGTACATGATCTTAAGCTTTGTTCAATGTAATCAACTTGTTGCATGTCGAATGAACTCTCCAAAGAGGTGGCCGGCGGATCTTCATCTTCTTGGATTGTACAAGCCCTGCCGATAGAAGCTAATGACGCATGCATTTACAAACTAAAAATGAATTACAACCTGGGAAATAAATATACAATTAAAAAATATGTATGTGACTTGAATATTTGATAGAATTACTTGTGCATTTAATTAGTTTTCATCTGAATAATTTTGTTACGCATATAAAATATATATAAGAGATATCAATTTAATTCCACTTGATGTATCTCATCTACCAGTACTGCATTGTATAATTAACTTTATGCCAATGTCTAAGTATGAAAATTCCTAATACTGCCCAACTCCACAAACTAAACTAGGTGAGTGTGGGAGTTGAACATAAAATTTATTAATTGTACGTCAACCGCTTTAGCTATCATAGGACTGGTCTTTCCATATTTTTTACTACATTACAATATTTAGATGACAATTTCACATCAATTCAACAAACAACATTTTCGCCTAAAAATACTATTTGCTTATATATTGATAGATAATAGTATCATATTGCTACCAAAATTTAACATACCATATTTCCACTTTTTTTAAATACATCTAAAGGTAATGAACAAGCAGTGCATGTTTTAAAGTCGTTTAAATATTTATAGACCCTTTAGTAAGATAAGTCAAACAGTTATGTTGAAAATTCCCGATGTATATTGCGATATGAATTCCGGTACCGTTAGATATTTGTTTAAAGTAATCTTTGAGACTTAAAATAATGAATGACCAATAACCTTAAAATTGTATAAGGCGCACATTAGATTTCATATGGCTGGCCAAAAAAATAGTATTTTAACCACAACACAGTTTAGTATAATTGGTCAGCACTATACTAATTCACATTTCCATATTATTTACGATATAACAGTAATCATCCAAACAACTCAAGTTTACGTTCTCTAAAATCACATAACCAGCACTCACTTAAAATCAAAGCTTATACTTTACTTATAAGTTCAAAAGCCTTTCCCAATTGTTTTGGTTCATTGAAAACAAATAATCCAAAATGTCAGTTAGACTAAACTTACTGATGTACATTTGACTATTCATATAACCCACATTTAGTTTGTAAAGTAAATGTGTGAACTGAGGTGGTGAAAATTTTATTTTACAAGATGTCGGACGCACTAATATTATTTCTTTCAAAATACTTTATAGATTGAAATGCATTCTTTCTACATCCACTGTTTGACACATCCTCGACGGTACTCAAATTGACGGCTTTACAGTTTCTTCTTATTTGACAAATTTTCTGAAATCATGCTAACAAGGATATTCTCCAAGTTAAGCTTTGTAGAAATTGTCCGGGTGGTGAATCAACGATCAGAAATTACAAATTTATGTCCACGTTCGATTTTAATAGTAATAAAGGAGGTCAGTAGTCGTTTAAACCTTGATCTAACTTACAGTTTCTGCGACTCTCTCTGAAACCCCTGGTCCACTTGGAAAGTACTTTTCATCATACATTACACACACAGAATTTCACTAGTTCTTTGAGAGTTCACAGTTTTCATCAGTAACATTATTAATCCACCATATTTACCAAACCGCTTACGTAGCAGGCAAAATACGGCCTGATAAATTTATTGCTTAATCCCATTTATTGACATAGATCTTCCGTGTGCAGATACATAGATCACCGTTTGTTCTAATGATAATAAAGATAAGTAATTTAGGGATGTGACAAATTTACTGACGGAGCTGTTGATGATTATTTGTGCATAATTACCCTAGGTAGTTACTTAGAAGTCAAGTGAGAATTCAGAACATTTCGATAAATGCTTTTTAAATGGACTGAGAGTTACAAAAATTTAGCAAAGCTATACACAAGTAACTACAGTTACATGTGGTTTTCCTATGAACAGTCGTTTCAGAACAGCTCCTTTTTCAGTTGTATATTTTTAGTCAGGTATATTTGTGGTCCTCATTCATAAACTGGAGCATTTGTGTTTGCTTGATAGGATTATTTTTACACAATCACAAATGATGTGTTAAAACAAGGTTTCACTTAAAAGCATCAAGGAAAAAAACAACAAATGACTAAGAATAATTCATACTATAGAAAAATGCATATTTAATCCAAAAATAAAGTTCACTGAATGGAAAGGGAAAATCATTGTTATTTATCTTTCATCACGACTTTGTGTTATGATTATAAACTTGATTGGAAAAAACATCCATGTAAAGCATAGATAAAATATATTTAACGTTGACGTTATTTATGAATTAGTGGTTTTGCTGTACAATTAGCCTAGATTCGAACTCAAAAGCTGATCAGTGTTAACAACCCCTATGAAAAGTTACAGCTGGTTTAACCATCATCAGTTTATGCACAACACATTTATTTCCTCAGTAAATCACCTAATATTCTAACCACGGTTTTATGCTTATCTGCATATATTTCAGTGAGAACTATACACTTGCAACATACCCAATGCAATGTATGATGATAAGGTAGCATATATATGCACATTTTCAACTAAAACGTTAAGCTACGCATGCAAATAGACACGATGCTGCAACAGGTGAACGTAGTGCAATAAATAAACAGCATTCTTCGTTTTACGTTTTGCAGTCCATAAAATCTAACAACAATGTGTTTCACATCTTAATTTCCAATGGTAAAAACAAAATATTATCATTTGACATACAGAACAGTGATAAAGTATTTTGATTAAGTCATAAAGGCTCTAAAACAAATATTTATTTTGTGCTCAAGAGATATTTTTCAAAGAAATAAAGTCTTACGCAGTTAGCACAGAATAAAATATGTTTGCGATAGGGAAAAACTAATGAGTCACCTTTATCCCAATCAGGTTTTCGATGATTGTTTGCAAACAACTTGTGTAATTAACATTCAGTAAGTCCTTTGAATTGACGGTAGTAGAAATACTCGGTAAATGAAGTAAACAAAGAAGTTCACTATTGAATGGATTCGTCATATCAAATCAAAAACTCGTAAGTACTGGACTCTTGCCTTTTTCAACTTAATAAAAGTAAATAAATATAATGTTTTTCTGCATTTATATCAACCATAGGAGTAAATCATCATTCAGAAAATTAACTCCTGTTTCACATGATACATCTTAAAACAACAGGTGCTCCAAATTACTCAGTTTCACTGGGTACTCTGTAACTCAACCACAGCGTTTGCGTAAAATTGTGAATTCATGAAAAATTGTGCGCTTATATTATAAGCCTAAACACGTTCACATATGCCTTTGGTCTTTAGTGATCTCGAGTCTGTACGTGACTGATGACGTTTATATTATGAAATCGTGTGACGATCAAGAAACAACGATAAAACTGTAGATGGTTCCGAAAAGTAAATGTTTCCATTAGCATTCGACAATAATTTTGTCCGTATTATTTTTGATGAACATACTTCTAGATGAATGTATTCAGAAAATCATTCTTACCATTACAATTACCACACTATCATGGAACTCAAATGCTACTGCGACTAAAAAGCCTAAAAAGTGGCATATTATGATACACTTGCATACTAGCTAAACCTATCTTCTCTACTGAACAACTATCAACTTCTTCTTTGAGTGTCTTGAGAATATTTTAATCGAAAAGGCTCGTATGCCGGAAAACTTAAAAGACAAAACTATTTTTCCGAAAATCAATCTCATTAAAGCATATAACCGAATCCCTATGAATGCAGACGAGATTTTTAGAACCGCTATCATGACTACCTTTGGACTCCACAAATTTTCATGCATAAATTACGGTTCAAGAAATGCATCACAAACGTTTACGAGATTCATCTGTGACACTCAGAAGTCTCAACCTCATGCACACATATATTTATGACCTTTTGAGAGTGCTTGAGAATCTCATGCATCTGAGTCTTGCGTCCTAATGGTCCAGTAACGTAGCACTACTGTAAGTACTTAGAAACGTTGGATCAAAACTAACTTCCTGGACTTTCTCGTGCACCTTATTAACACTCAAGGCATTCGCCGTTAGTGAAGCAAAAGACGACAATTCTGTATTTCCCAGAAGCAATCATAGTCAATTAATAAAGAACGTTTAACGGATAAGTTTTCTAACCCGATTCGGATTGAGTTGAGCGTCCCCTATGACGCACAACAGACCAACTTCACGAAATCGCAAAAGGCATTGATTAGCTCGTGAAAATCACTTTCCATATTTAAAGGAATTGTCGCAAAAGTGTTATATCTTGGAAAGTTGAGTTTTCTTGATACTACCGCGTATAACATAGCACTAGAACACCAAACCCTTATAAGTCGCAGTAAGAAGACAGAAGACTAACGAAAGGAATATTATTCCAAAGAGTGTCAATCATAGTACGAAATTGTCAGGTATTTATAGTTTTTAGTGAGAATGAAATCATCATTACAGTCTTCCGATCCGCATACAGGGAGTTATTAGCATTATCCAATCGGTAAGCTACACGTTAGAATTCTAGAATATTCTTCCGAAAGGTGATTGGATGAGACGTCTTCGGCTCCTTCTGAGCCTCTTACAGCGTCCTCGAGTTCACCGGTGGTCGGTCATCACAAAAAGTAACCGTAATCTCAAACTAGGACATCAAAGCATCCATTGGTATTGCCGTAGACGTATACGACTTGATAATCGGAAGAATCTCAAAACAATGAGTACACAACACCCATCAACCTTTGTCATTCCTCATGGGACGGTTGCAAGACGGTGAATCGAGGAATAGCACCCTCGGCAACAAACTCCCAGTTGTGTAACGTGCTGCGCGACACTTTCAGCAACATGCAGAATAGCGAGACCTCATTCTGTTTACCAACCTCTCATATTTTTCTTATCCCATCTTTTCACAACTTGACTTCACCTCTCGGTTCACCTCAAATATGCAGTGTGTTTCTGGAGTAAACAATTTAGTCGCACACCCCTTGTTATAGCCAAGCGAAGATTAAATCACCAGTAACTTTTGAGACATATTAATTGACTAATATAATCTATATATTCTTATGGTATAACTATTCAATAATTAGATTATGTATATTTATATTCCTCTTATCATAAGCTTCACTTTGACTTATAATTTATTGTTGTACGAGTTACTGTTCTTAAGCCATGTTCAGTTTACGGACTACTGCCTCTCACGTTCACGGTCACTTTTTGGCTTTACTGTGTACAAATGTTATTTCCTTTTTTATGGTGCGTGGCGGTATGTTTGTTTGATATATAAACCCAGTATGTCTGGAATGATTCGATTCGATTCTCATAGTGGAAGCTGGCATTGGTGTTCTGGACTCAAGTGGACGGGCTTGGCGGACATAGGACCAATAAGGACGCTAGGATGCTTATACCGGTCGAATGTCATTGGTTTGGCACAGTGCGAAGATTGTACAAGTCGTACTTTGATTGGTGGGTAAATCATATAACAAAAAGCGGGACATAAAGTCCTAACAAACCTGTCTCGTATGATTTCTCTGAACAATTACCAAAGAATAGACCTTTTTAATATCACCCAGCTTAAAAAGACGCTGGTCTTCAGTACGATTTATCTTCGACAATCCTGAAACAATGAATCGAATAGATGTTAGTGGGAATCGTCGAATCGCGCCGTAATAGTAACAGCGCAAAGTTTTTGATACGTTGAACAAACCATCTCATCCAGGTGTTTTAGCAGTCATCAAGCTCATAGCAGGAAGATCTGGTTGGCTTGTTGTAAAGAAAGATGTGAGGGAATGTGTACATTCTAGTATAAGATGTCTGAAATCTAAGGTATTTAAACTCAAAGTATGTCCCTTAGGCTCGTTCTCAAATCCTGACGCTCGTTTTGAACATGTTCACCTTGGTGTGGCAGGACTACTGCTGAATTCAAATTAAAACTCTTACGTAGGGACCGCTTACCAAGATCGCTAGAAGCAGTACACATCAAGGACATTGACCTTGCCTGTAAACTGGCATGCCCCATGTAAAAAACCGTTATTGGAGAATAAATTATTATTGTTGGTATTGCTGCAGTAGCAGAGGCCCGTGACTTCGCTGAAAGATGAGTGTCAAAGTTTGATTGCCCTTTAACTGTTGCTATGAATAATAGAGGCTAGATCGATTCTAAACTTTTTCATTGCCTTACCACGATCCTAGAAATCATATAATTCCGAACGACCGCCTACAACCCACAAGCTAACGAACTGAAGATAAGATTTCATAAATAGTTGAAAGTTTCACTCCCTTATACACATATATGTTCATATTATTTATTTGTATATAAATCCAAAGGAATTTTCAATACCTAAACTTTCCCACTGTTTCGCAGTATTTATACGCATATATACCGTTTATTTTCTTTAGACACCTTTTGCTTCCTTAAACAAGTACTAGTGCATACGTACATTGGCTTACACTTCTAAATGTGAAGGATCGACAGGATGTACGATGGACCATGATTTCCAGTGTACTTATTCCTACTACTTTTTTATCCAAAACAACTTCCTATAATAGAGTTATCAAACCAAATACACCTGGACACAGCAACCTGTCAGAAGTATCTGCCAGCAGCAAGCTTCTTTGAGTTCAAACGTCTGGTTGATCACGTCATGGGACCAGCACTACCTCACGAAGGCGAGGTGATAATTCTGTAGGTCTACAACACTGATTCTGACCTTGCCAATTATACTGAACATACACTAAATGAAGGCTCTTGGACATAAATAGGCACCACATCATGAGTGGGTTCACCGTGCTACATATCTCTTGCGACAACTAGGTAGATTAAATAAAACGTTCCTCAACACATTGGCAGTTTCCGAATGCATTTTTAAATGCAATCATCCTGATTTCTGGTTTACCTGAGTCGGTATTTTTGGAGTGGAAATACTTCATGAACCAAAAAATTATCAAACCCTGAATTTCCGTGACATCTTCAACATATTGTTCTCAACAGCTCTTTAAGCCCATTAGTCGCATCTTGATCATACAGGAACTAACATACGCACTCTATGCAACTGATAACCAGCTCAGATCAAACGCTTCCCGACATACGGATAGTCTATCAGAAATATCTTCGAATCCCTTAATTTCTGACATCTGATTTCATTACGTTGGTATACGTCAATTGAAGAGATTTCATGTGTAAAGTTGCCGTCAAGCCATGAATGCTAGTGACATCTTTTGTCTCATAGAAACTAAAAAATGTAGGATGTAAAATCAACCAACATCTCCATGTACGAGCGTGAGAGGAACGCGAATCGGAAGTCTTCCGTTACGTGTTATGAACAAACATTTTAGAACAGTATTTAAAAAATGAAGATACAGGACTTCATAATTTTTCGGTAGAACATGAAAAGTCGATTTGATAATTCTGAAATTATCAGAAATAAACTGCATCCTCCAGGAGCTAAACTACGACAAGTACATGTTGTGTTCTGATATAGTTTAATGTGATTTTGTAAGTAACATAGCTTCAATCTACTTGGCATATAAAAAATATTCACTGAACGGCAGAAATAGGCACTTTGTTCGGACGAAAGCTCAAATACATAATGTCAGACAACTGCTAGTAATGGAATTAACATGGTGGAAAATGTTTATTTTTATTTACCTCTCACTCAAATGAGTTCTATAATTTATACTACTGATGAGTTTGTAAATAAAACTGACCAATCATAAACAAACCAAGGAATAAGTAGTCATAAATTGAGTAAGAAATTTTAGCTACGTGAATCGTGTAGGAGTCGGAAGTAGGGAACTGAGCAACTGCACGATGATGTCGTGAAGTGAAGGTCAAAAGTCTTCGAGAGTGATCGCTGTTCAAACTAAATGGGAAAAAGCTAATAAGCGTTAGGTTTTCTTCTAGGCCGTCATAAATATAGGATCCATCAACATGGAAACATGAATGGAGAAAAGCTTCCATTTGTTGGTTTGATAAATTCGTAGGTTTGAATTTCTTTGATTTTGAAGTTAAATTGATGGGAGTCCTACAATCTTCAAATGTTCACCTGAAAAGGAACGGTCAACAATAAATGTGCGTAGCGTAAACAGCAGTGGGCATTACCAAAAGGAGTATGTCGTTGGCTAATACAAATGACTTTATCAAAC